TGGTGGCTGACTAAATACTTTTTTGCCCCACTGTATTTCTAAACATCAGTTGCTATAGCATTTAAGTGGTACTAATTGTACCTATTTCATGAATGTACAGTATTTTTGTTGGTTGGAACAGGGGAGCAAACACCTATGCTGTATTAGGTTTGATATGACATACTTGGATATTTGTACCTATTGTATGTATATGCCTAATACAACATTATTGCTCAAGTATTTTTATTATGTGGTGTGCTTACTCTGCATATTCAGATGGATGCACTGTGGAGAGATTTAACCACCCTAAAAAAAAAAACTATTGTTGGTTGCTAAATAGTGTAGATCAGGGGTCTCCAAACTTTTTAAACAAAAGGGCCAGTTTACTGTCCTTAAGACTTTAGAGGGGGCAGCACTATGACCATCGGGAGTAGAAAATGTCCCAGCATCAGTTTGAGTAAACAATGCCCCATCCTTGGTGTCATTGGGAGGAATTGTGCCCCATTATTGGTGTAATTGGGCCCCATTGTTGGTGCAATTGGTAAGAATAGTGTCTCACCATTGGTGTGTTGTGGAGGAATTGTGTCCCACCGCTGATGTAATTGGGAGGAACTGTGCCTCATTATTGGTATCATTGGGAAGAATTGTGCCCCATCACTGTTGTCATTGGGAAGAATTTTGCCCCATCATTAGTGCCATTGGATCCCATTGTTGGTGTCAGTGAGAGGAACTGTGCCCCATTGTTAGTGTAATTGGGAGGAACTATGGCCCATCATTAGTGTCATTGGGAGGAACCGTGTCTCATCATTGGTATCATTGGGAGGAATTTTGCCCTATCATTAGTGCCTTTGGGCCCCATTGTTGGTGTCATTGGGAGCAACTGTGCCTCATCATTGGGAGGAATTGTGCCCCATCATTAGTGCCATTGGGCCCTATTTTTGGTGTCATTGGGAGGAACTGTGCCCAATTATTGGTGTCACTGGGAGCAACTGTGCCCCATTAGTGGTGTCAGTGAATGAAATAGTGCCCCAAGGGCCAGATAATAAAGCAAGCAAAGAGCCGCATCCGGCCCCCAGTTTGGAGACCACTGGTGTAGATAATAGTGATATGCCGACCTTTGATGCTCACTACATGTCTCTGCCTGCCACCTGAAATTAACCTGGCCTGTTTAAATTGACCATGTTTCTGCCTTCCGCCGGAACTGACCTCAGCTTGTTAAATTGACCACGTTTTTTGGCTGCTGCATGGACTGATCTTTTGCCTGCCACTGTAGTAGTGGGAATAAAGACAACACAGGGGTCTTACGTATGTAGACTAGAGGGCTCCAGAGTAGTGTTTCTACAAAAAAAAAAAAAACCTAAGAATTTGGTTTTGTACGGATTTTGTAATTCACTGACCAGTTTCAGGAGTCCAGGGGCTTTGAAGAGTTTTTTGAGAGAGGAAGCCTCTACCCCTGTGTCCAGGTTTCACCCGACTGAGGCCCTAAGCTTGATGTTTCCGTTTGCGGTCTAGACCAATCCAATCCTTTGGCTATTTTCTGACCATGTCTCTGCCTGGCCTGTTTACGGAAAATGTTCCTGCCTGCTGCTTGGACCAATCCAATGACTATCTGCTGATCACATCTCTGCCTGCTGACTGCACTTAGCCAGGCCTGTTTGTGGACCATGGTCCTGCCTTTTTAACTCCTTTGCTCATTCCTAACTACATCTTTCTGGTACAGAGACTGACCCATCTGCGTGCCCCACTGTTCCTGTGAGACACCAGTCTCACCCATCATCTGCGTACAACTGCACTACTAGAACCACAGGTATTTGTTCAGCCTCCTGTACTTCCTGGCCAGTTAACATAGCAGTCTGCTCTGGGGGTAGCCAAGTACCAGTACATTAGGTCTGCTTGGCTATTAGGAGCAGAGACTGCTGTAGGTAAAGCTACACTCAGAGGCAACCGTGCTAGTACATTGTTTACTGTGTTGATTTTTGTGGTACATGGGTTGCAGTGTCGGGTACAGTCCGAACACTGAAAAGGTCTTGCACATGTGACATTGCTATACTCGGGAACAGTAGCAGAATGTGTTCTGAGGTATAATTCTAAGTATGCCTATGTTGTGTGTTAGAAATATCTTCACAATTTATAACTTTCAAAAAAAAAATTATTTTAATTTTCCAAAATCTTGTCACAAAAAAATGATACATTTTCAAAAGGCTCATTATTCCTCTTAAAACATACCTTGGGGTGTTTGATTTCCAAAATGGGGTAATTTTTTGGGTATTATCATTGTCCTGGTGCTCCAGGGCCTCCAAAAATGTGATAGGTAGTCAGGAAATTAGATGCATAATTTATGCCCCTAGAACACTTGAAGGTGCTCCTTCGATGTTGGACACCTCTATTGACTTGACTGTAAAAAAAAGTCTCACACATGTGGTATCCCCATACTTGGGAAGCATAGCAGAATGTAATTTGAGGTTTAATAATAAATAGGCTTATGCTGTGTGTGAGAAAACATGCTAAGCTGAAAATGTTGTGAAAAAACAAAAAAAACAAAACTTTATTTACGTTCATCATTTTCCAAACAGATTACAACTTTAAAAAAAACTCATCATGCCTCTTACTAAATACCTTGCACTGTGTACCTTCCAAAAAGGTGTCATTTGGGGGGTATTTATGCTGTCTTGGCATTTTAGGGCCTCAAAAAATTAGATAAGCAGTAAGTACACCAGGACTGATCAATTTTCAAATATACACACACACATACATATACACACATACATACATATACACACACACATACAGTAAGGATCGAACGTTTGGGCACCCCAGCTAAAAATTTGTATTAATGTGCATAAAGAAGCCAAGGAAAGATGGAAAAATCTCCAAAAGGCATCAAATTACAGATTAGACATTCTTATAACATGTCAACAAATGTTAGATTTTATTTCCATCATTTACACTTTCAAAATAACAGAAAACAAAAAAATGGCATCTGCAAAGGTTTGGGCACCCAGCAGAATTTATAGCATGCACTGCCCCCTTTACAAAGCTGAGACCTGCCAGTGTCATGGATTGTTCTCAATCATCGTCTGGGAAGACCAGGTGATGTCAAGCTCAAAGGTTTTAAATGCCCAGACTCATCTGACCTTGCCCCAACAATCAGCACCATGGGTTCTTCTAAGCAGTTGTCTAGAAAACTGAAACTGAAAATAGTTGACGCTCACAAAGCTGGAGAAGGCTATAAGAAGATAGCAAAGAGTTTTCAGATGTCAATATCCTCTGTTCGGAATGTAATTAAGAAATGGCAGTCATCAGGAACAGCGGAAGTTAAAGCAAGATCTGGAAGACCAAGAAAAATATCAGACAGAACAGCTCGCAGGATTGTGAGAAAAACAATTCAAAACCCACGTTTGACTGCACGATCCCTCCAGAAAGATCTGGCAGACACTGGAGTTGTGGTACACTATTCCACTATAAAGAGATACTTGTACAAATATGGGCTTCATGGAAGAGTCATCAGTAGAAAACCTTCTACGTCCTCACCACAAAAATTATCGTTTGAACTTTGCAAATGAACATATAGACAAGCCTGATGCATTTTGGAAACAAGTTCTGTGGACTGATGAGGTTAAAATTGAACTTTTTGGCCGGTATGAGCAAAGGTATGTTTGGAGAAGAAGGGGCACAGAATTTAATGAAAAGAACCTCTGTCCAACTGTTAAGCATGGGGTTGGATCAATCATGCTTTGGGGTTGGGTTGCAGCCAGTGGCACAGGGAACATCTCACGAGTAGAAGGAAAAATGGATTCAATAAAATTTCAGCAAATTTTGGATGGTAACTTGATGCCATCTGTGAAAAAGCTGAAGTTAAAGAGAGGATGGCTTCTACAAATGGATAATGATCCTAAACACACCTCGAAATCCATGGGGGATTACATCAAGAGGCGTAAACTGAAGGTTTTGCCATGGCCTTCACAATCTCCTGACCTCAACATAATTGAAAATCTATGGATAGACCTTAAAAGAGCAGTGCGTGACAGACAGCCCAGAAATCTCAAAGAACTGGAAGACTTTTGTAAGGAAGCATGGGCAAAGATACCTCAAACAAGAATTGAAAGACTCTTGGCTGGCTACAAAAAGCGTTTACAAGCTGTGATACTTGCCAAAGGGGGCAGTGCAAGATATTAACTCTGCAGGGTGCCCAAACTTTTGCAGATGCCATTTTTTTGTTTTCTGTTATTTTGAAAGTGTAAATGATGGAAATAAAATCTAATTTTTGTTGACATATTATAAGAATGTCTAATCTGTAATTTGATGCCGTTTGGAGATTTTTCCATCTTTCCTTGGCTTCTTTATGCACATTAATACAAATTTTTAGCTGGGGTGCCCAAACTTTCGATCCTCACTGTACATATATACACATATACACACACACATCATAGTTTGTAGACGCTTACTTTCCTACAGGCTAAATATTGTACACTGATTCGGGTTACTGTTACCAAGGAAATGTAGCAGAATACATTATGCTCTAAATTGAAGTTTTTTTATTTTTTTGCAAATATTTATAAAATAAAAAACGAAAAAAAAATTTTTTTCTAAATTTTCAGAAGACAGAAGAAAGCTCTGTCAAAAAAAAAAAAAAAGATAATTTGAGCACAGTGTTGTATGCTTGAGTGTCAAACTGTGACAGCACTGTAAAACTGAATAAAGACTTGGGCAGGAAGGGTGTAAAAGTGTCCGGTCTATAGGTGGTTAATAAACCTGAAGTATTTTGTAACTCTATATAACAGGTTTTTGCATAAATATTTTAAGTGTAAACAACAGCAATTTTAGGCAAAAGGTATCAGAAGATGTAGTTAAAGGATACCTTCATTTTTACTATAAACCCTGGATTTGCATTTGTCTCTGCAGTTAAAAAATAAATATGTATATGCCTTGTATTTTACAGGGTTAGCACTGCCAGCAAGTAACTAATATCACATGAATATTATATCACACATTACAGAATGTGAAGGTGGGGTGATGCATACCGAGGAGGTGGTGTAGGCGGGGTTTGTGGATGAGGTCTATCAAATGATTGCAGGTCATAGGATGGCGGTGAATAAACTGGAGGGGGCTCCTCATCTGAACTGTCTGGTTCTAGAGTTCTTTCCAGAATCTGAAAAAGCAAAATAAGAAGATGTGAATTCATTTTTCCCCAGGTCAGACAAGACACTAGGACAGGAAGTAGGAGGAAAATTTCCACAATGAGAAAACAGACCACTGTACACTCTGGCTCTGATGCACTCCAATTCCAAGCAGTTTTATCATCTTTGTTCCATTATCTCCAGCTGGACTACAGAACACATCTCTCTTTATGTTATTCAGAAAAGTCGCTCGGACCATCTATGGGAGTTTTTCAGTAAAGTTTCTGGAGTTACATCAATGGCTTACACCTAGAGCAAGAGTATTATCCAACTTTGGTCAAAGTTGGTTTGTTTTTGCCTAGGAGCCCCTGCATTGGCAGTTTTTTTGGTAAATATGAACTGTAGCACTTCTTGTGTTCCTCAATGGACAAGAAAGAGAAAAAATATTCTACGGAAATATCATTTTGAAACATGGGTAAAAACACACACCACAGCATAGTACAGAGCTAGTCTAGTCTCCATTCTATCCTAGTCCCCAGTCTATCTTAGGTTTTCTGACATTTCTAACCATCTACAGAATGTGATAAGCCTAATGAGCTCCAAACTTGAATTACTTTTACGTATATTTGTGTATGCAATATACATATTTAACAATGATCAGAGGGCTCCACATAATTTACAGCAGTAAAAAATTCTTAGAAACAAGAAACACGTTACATAGCCATATATGAACATGGGTAGCACAACTTGCTATTGCAGATGGAAAAAATCATTATGGTCCTAAAACAAAATAAAAAAAAAAAAAAAGAAAGAAAGAATATAACCTCAGGAGGAATGCTGTCATCCGAGTCCGAACTGTCATCATAGCCACCATCATCCAGGTTCATCTGTAGTAACTGATCAATAGTAGCATCCACTGCTCCATTGTTAGCCCTCAAGCACACTCAATAATGTCATATTCCATGTTTGGAAACATGGTTTTAAAATCCTCCATAGCCTGGTTGAACTCCAACCTGCGTACAGGCCGGCTGTTGTTAAGTTCCTGAGTGGAAGAGTTGCTCCGTGCACTGCCATTGCTGTTACTCCTACGGAACAGACTTGTCATTTTTGATAACCGTTTTTGAAAAATGGTTCAAACTTATAAGTGGCCCAAAGTAAGAAAATCACAATAACTGGTCATGGCTTCTTACAAAGATTAGGCTTCTACACTCCTTGTTAATAGACAGGCTAAGGCCTGGGTATGTCCTCCTCATGAGCAAGATCTTCAGATGAAAACGTGAGGATGTGCACCTTAGAACCAGAATAAATCTGTGGACAAAAAAAAAAATAAAATAAATATAGTATACCTGTTTAAAGCCAATGATTATTGCAAGGTTTATTTCCTCTAAGTAAACCCATAAGTAAAAGAAGTAAATACAAATTTAGAACACAGTTAAAGTACATCCAAAAGGCAAAAAACTTTTTATTTTTGGATGGAACATGAAAGCGTTTAAACTCCTGTGAATTTTTACTACTTTCCACGTCTCTGCTAAGGATATTTACTCTGTATGTCATGGTGACCCCTGTTACGGAGACTCGAAGTCAGGGAAAATCTAAAATGCTTAGGAAACTTGTCCCGCTGACAACCCTATTAGTTGTCAATGTTTAGCACTTTAGATACGTTGGCTATTTGGTGCATTCCTTTGTCCATCGCGATTTTAAAATGACCAATAAAAATTAAGAAAACAAATATACACATTTAATTAAAAAATTATTTTAAAAATTATTGGACTTTTGACAAAGCAGTGATCAACAGTAAAAAATATACACTGTATTAATATTTTTTAAAAATTCACGAGACATACAAAAACACAATAATGATCCACATAAGTGGCATCTACAACCTGTTCTGCGAATTAAAAATATTCCTCTAAAATTCATTACACTAGGTAAAAGGCAGCTTTAATTAAAATACCACTTGATGCGATACGCTGAAGGTCTGTAAATGAAAAAAAAAAACTGTTCATTGCTCTTATAGTATGCTTCTCTCAAATGTTCTAATGCAGACAACAGATGGGATGAGTTAAACATAAATAAATGCCTGTAGGCTTCCAGCATTGTGCTCCACATAGCCATGCTGTGTCTGATTATCTGTGCTGAATCTGGCAATGGATTAATGTTTTACTGGCAAACAAAGAATTGGACATCTACTACAGACTGGAGAACTACCCTGATAAGAAAATTATTTAAAGGGATGCTATGTGCAGACTGACCATTCGAGCACTGCCCGAGGGCCCGGGTCAGTAGGGGGCCCCATAAAATGCCCCGGTACCTATTTATAGGCTTTTTTGTGTGTGCTTTGAGTGTGGGCAAGGACACAGGGGCCCCATGAACCCCTATTGCCCAGGGGCCCCATGAGTTCTCAGTCTGCCCCTGGTGGAGAATACAGGAAATCATATCAATGGATAAAACAAGTGCAAGTCAGCAGATGTGGCTCTGGTGAGTGTGATTGTTTAAGGACCCATTCACACTGATTCTTTAGATGCGTTTTTGGGGTTAAAAAAAAAAAAAAAAAAGCAGAACTAAAAAAATGCATGAAGACTAACCCTTTAAGTCCTTTGGAACTCTACACAACAGTGCGGTGTGGTGTGTGTTTTTAAAAGCCCTGCATTCTGCATCTTAACTGCACTTTTCAAACCCATGCCAAAAACACATCTCCCATTGACTTCTATAGAAAATGCACCAAAAATGTACCCTGCATTTTTGGTGTGATTTTTTCATCACATGTTCTGGCTCCAGTCATGCAGCTGTGAAACCTGGAGTCCAGAAAACTCAGGAAAAATGCATAAAAATGCAGCAAAAAACACATGCCTTCTTACTGTGTCTTTGAAAGGAGCAGTGTGAAAAGACCCTACCACCCCCCCAAGAATACATTGCTCAGAACTGACGGTTATACCTCCCTGCCCCTACATGGATCAAAATTTGGCTGGTTCCCGCTTTAAAGACCAATTGATAGGGTTGCCACCTCATCCCTTTAAACCTAAGGTGGCAACCTTACTAATTGAGGTGGAGTTAACAAAAGGCAATTTTGGTTTCATAAGTGGTGCTTAAAAGAGAAAAGCAGGAACATAGAAAAAAGACAATCATACTCAGATGGTTGCAACACTGACCCCCACCGCCTCTACCCCAAAATTGAGCAAACACATGTAGCAGAATATATTTTGGCCTAAATTTTTGAAGAAATTTGATTTAAAAAATTTTTTTATTAGATACGTTTTGTAGCAAAAAGTCAAAAATAGTTTTTTTTTCAAAATAGTGTCTTTTGTTTATAGTGCAAAAAATAAAAGGGTGACCCTACAGCACAGTTTTTTTTTACCTTAATACATAGAATGCATTAAGATTTATAAAAAAAAAAAAAATTAAAAAAAAAAAAAGTCTTAAAGCTTAAGAACTACTCTAAATACCGAGGCAAAACCTATATAAAAAAGTACTATAAAATGTTAACATAGAATATACCAAACATTTTTTAGACATTTCTTTTTATTATATAGACATTTATATTTAGACATTTATTATAGACTGTATACACACTCAAATATGCCCCTGCACCCAAAATGCCAAAATTCAGTAGAGGTTTCTATTTAATCACCCTCAGTCTTTTACACAACAGACAGCAATTTATTTTTGGCAACAAATGCCAATAGGAAGCAGACATAACACAAAAAGACACTATTCATAGGAGTCTTTATTAAGTAGCTTTGTGAGTTTCATTTTCTCCATGGCTGTGGTTTTAACTCTCTTTGGTGTCTTTGTGTTAATCGGAATACATTGTGCAATTTCTTGTTTGTCATGTTTAGCTTCCAACTGTTAGCTTTATTCTTCCCAACAGCAGAGTTTTTCATTTAACCTGTACAAGATGTCCTTACAACTTCTGCTTGCTTGTGTCACTAGTTTTCTATATAAAATATGTATCCATGGTTTTGTTTCCCTATTTAAAACATGTTCCTTGTGGGTTGACATAACAGCAATGAAAGGCATTATTAAGGTATGATATTTTCCATTTGTTTCCTGTGCTAATTTTTCAAACAAAAAGACAAAAGACTATTGTTTGGCAGTATCTGAATGTGTAATGCTGGCCATACAATTGGTGGTTTTGTGCCAATTTTGGATGCTTTCCAGCAGCTTTTGATTCAAGATCATACAGAGTGGAACTGAATGATCTGCAGCAGTCTTCCACAGCCTTGTTTTGGGTGTCAAATTACCAAATGATCAATATTGGGGTGAAGAATATTTTAAAAAAATGCTTCTTCGCTAGAACTGGGGTCGATTTTAATTGGATTTCCACTGCATCATTAAAATACCAGAAACAGGAATAACTGCTTCCTAGGTAGTGGTCAGTGCCAAGTGATGCAGACACTGCCAAGCTTCTTATAAATATGATAGTTATATGGCTGTCATTCTGACCCTCTACCTTGTTTTTCAGGAGGAGGTCTGCAATTGCAGCCCTCGTGTTTCTCTTACTACAGTTTTATTTAAAAAAACAAAACAAAAAAAGAACAATTAAGTCCAGTGTCAGGAGGAAGGACCTTTTCCAGATTCGGCTATACGACCAAACATGAAAGATTTTGATCCCAAATAAAACTTCTATTTCATGCAGTCAACTGCCAATGTATCTGTATTTGTTCACTGTACAGTGGTTTCTTCAGGACTCATATTACCACATGACTAGATGTTCCATCCTACCCATGTAATATCTGACAGGTATTGACTGACATGTTTCTTCTAAAACATTTGCACTCAAGTTCAACTCAACCTAATTGTGGTTTCACAACATCCCTTTACAGGAGTCTATACTTTGATATCCATACAAATTACCAGCAGAAGCTCCTATAGATCTATTTTCACAGACTCAATTTAACCACTTGAGGATTTACCCCCCCTTCCTGACCAGGCCATTTTTTGCGTAGGGTACTACATTACTTTGACAATTGTGCGGTCATTCAACGCTGCACCCAAATCAAATCTACATCCTTTATTCCCACGAATTGAGCTTTCTTTCGGTGGTATTTGATCGCCTCTGCAGTTTTAATTTTTTGCGCTATAAAAAAAGCACTGACACTGTACTAATGGCACTAGGCAGGAAGGGGTTAACATGAGGGGCGATCAAAAGGGTTAACTGTGTGCAGGGAGTGTTTTACTAGGGGGTGGTGTCTGTGTGCTTCACTGTAATCACACTGCTTTGGATGGCTATGCATAGCACAGCCATCCAGAGCAGTGTGCCTGAGCCGACAGGGAGGAGGACTGTTCGTAAAACAGTCCTCCTACCCACTGGAGATGCTCAGTAATCACCAGCTAGGAAGCGGTGGTTGACAGCCGCAAATGGCGGTGAGGGTAGGGCACTCGCGCATGCCCCCTACTTGGAAATGCGAAATCACGTATATATACACACACACACACACACACACACACACTATTTTGCGCACCCCTGCTGCCCTGTAGCAGTATATCTGCTATAGGGCTGCGGGAAAGTGGTTAATGTCTGCATATCCAAACCTTTCTCCCCCATGACAGAGTTTACCTTTAAAGTGGTTGAAAATATTTACAAAAATGTGAGGGTTGTATACTCACTTCTGTGAGATACTGTATATAAAAAAACTAATATAGTGTATATTTATGTAACCAATATATGAATATTGCATAGACTCCTGCTATCTCTGGGTAAAGTGCTGCTGTCTGCTCTTTCCACTCTAAACTGCAACTTCAACAATGCATAGATTTCTGCTAATCTCAGAACATAGTGTATATATTTTTGTCTGCAACAAGAGATGAGAATCAATCACACTTTTTATGACTGTGGCCTGTGTCTGGTCTGTGTTTGAGAAACATCCCCCCTAATTCATGCGATCCTTATCAGTTCCTAATTGGGTGGAGAAGAGTGCTCACATGACCATCTCCCTATCAATTTAGATCCAGCTCATGGGGGGGGGGGGGAAGTCACAGACAAAGGGGGTTGGGCGGCATAGTCACAGATGGAGTGCTGTTTTTCTGCTTGATTGCTGTTTTTGATGGAGTGCTAAGAAATAGTTGAACACAGCAGTTTAACTAAAGCAGGATAACTCAAGCAGC